TTGAATACCAAGCATGGTGCAAGTCCTATGGAGATGCCCGGAGAATGGACTTACCCAGTTATCTGGGAAGGGTTTGATTCTGTAGGACCTGAGGAAATGGATGGGATCATCTGGAATGTAAATGCCATCACCTATGCATTAATTCCATGCCCCTACTGGCTGGTAAGACTGCCCAGGAGATAGATGGTGAATTCATCCTTGTTGGCAGGAATGTTCCTGGATCTTTTTAAAGATTCTCCTCAAGAAGCCATGTTACTGTACAATTATGGACAATTTTTGTCCAATCTTCAACCTCCCCTTTTTAGGGAAGATGGTTGAGAAGACGGTGGTCTTACAGAGGAAATGTATTGTCTGGATTCTCTTCAGTTAAGTTTCAGGCTCAGTTATGGGACTGAACTGGTAGTGGTCACACTCATAAGGTGATCTCTGGTGGGAGCGGAATGGAGGTTGTGTATCCATCCTTGCTCATTTTGAGTGAATTCTGATACCATTGACCATGCTATCTTTTTAGGCTGATTTAGTGAGTTGGGGATGGGTGGCACAGTTATGTGCTGGTTCACCTCCCTTCCTCCAAGGTCAGTCCCAATCAGTCTCGACAAACAGCCCCATAATGTCACTTACCATTAATACAGTCTTGGAGGAATCCCCAGGATACCAGAGACTGAAGACCACCAAAGTGCCCAAAAAACAGAAGAAGGTGACAGTGGCAATATTTCGTACATCTAGAACGGATTCTACCAATGGGATGGTGCCCATTGTCCAGTCACAACACAATTCAGAAGGATTTAGAAGCAGCCAAGCATTTACTGGAAGGAGGTAATTGAAAGTCAGCTGCCTCACAGGAGATGGACTCACAGCAGCTGGGTTATCAAACCTAGAAAGAGAAAGTTGAGGTGAGGTGCAACCATATGACATGGCATATAACAGCAGACATGTTAAATTTCTGGATTAGATCCAGGATCGAGTGAAAAAAGTATTCTGTGAAATGGATGATCTAAAGAGAGAGGTTGGAGAGAAAATTTTGATATTTTTTTTCCAATTCCCTCCTCCTTCCTCTATAATAATGCTGAAGGCAGAAGGCTCATTCAAAACAGCGTGCAAAATGGGACAGTAGAAATGGTGAAAATTGTGGCACAAACCTATCTGGACTCTTATGCTCTTTGCCAAGGGAAGGAGTCCTTTCATTAGAATTCTTGCAAAGCTGCCTTGACCTTTTATTAAACCAAGGAAAACAATAATTTATGCATTTCTGTAATTTAACAGATACAAGCTGAGGTCCAAAACAACAAATTAACCAGTTAATCTGTTTAAACTGGGTTAGACAACTTCTTAAAAGGTGGTGCAAGCAGAACCTTACTGGGTTCATGATTCATGTATCATGTATAAGCCCTGAACAAATTGGGAGGTCAGGATGCCCAGCAGATGGCTTTCCTGCTACAGACATAATTAACTGCTGGGATCACCAAGGGACTTCTATTGCATATACTCTGGACTGCAAAGTGCTATCCTGTAGTCATGCTTGTAATATTTTATGAGAAATATGTTAAAATGCTCTCTCTTCTGCCAAGCCTTGTTTACAGAAATGTTGGACAAATGCTTTTTGTTTCTGCTTTTTCTCCTCACTCCTTCTTACTGTAAACGGTTTTTACATTTATTGCTTTACTGTATAGTTTATATGTTGTAAACTGCTTTGAGATGCTTTTATGTAGTAAATAGTATAAATTGTATTAAGTAAAACCACCAAGTTAGTGGACTACAGGGTATATTGAAGTCCACTCAAAAATTATGCAAATAAATACTCAGGATAGGGATAGCAATTAACTCAAAAGCCAGCAACTGCTTGGCTGCAAGCCAGCAAGTGCAGAGCAAAGAATCCATTGAAATATGGAAAAGGGACCAAGGTATAAATTGTTATGAATATAAGAAAGAAGAATAGTTAGGTTGACAGAGAAGCCTCAATTGTTTAATACAATTTCAGCCTATTCTGCAGTAGACATTCTTATCTAACTACAGCATGTCAAAGGTCTGAGAACTTCTGCTGAATTCAAACCTGCCATCCAAATTAAGCTGTGAATAGTTGACATCTGAAGATCTACGACTGAATCCTGGATCAGAAACACGACAGAAGAGGGCTGCATGCATGCACCCTATCTTTTGCAGATGAGCAAACCTGAGACTAGCAATGTATACTTTATCCAATTTCAATCCCTATACTTACAAGGGAATCCCTGAATAGGCTTTTGAGTTTGTTGAAACAATAAACAAAACAAAAGAGCAAAGAATGGTTAATGCATAAGTAAGATAAAATATATATCCTGAGCGTGAAGGAGTAGAAATACTTATTCAAACAGAAATATTTATCCACTTTCCCCCAAGTTCCTTCACTATAACAAATAATGGAATTTACCTTGTAAACACCGGTAACTGGGATTGAATAATTTGGACTCTGATCACAACAAGTAGTAGGGTACTGAACATCAGAACAATCAGTTTCAATAGCATTTGAAGCATACAGTAGGGAATGCTGCCTTTGCCTTGAAGAATTTGTAACACTGTATACCAAAGAACTGGCAAAGTATACTGGACAGGGAAATAAGAACATAAACAATATTCAAATGAATCTTCTGACACCATGTATCACACAAGCAAACTTCTTCAATATGATGCAAGCCAAGTGTGCAGGTCTACAACACCCCAAATTCCCAAACAAGGTAGCAGTAATTCTGGGGACTTCATTCAACTGAAATTCACCAAATGGAAAAAAAGAACCTTCAAACAGGATTCAAAAGCCTTTCTGCCCCCTTTATTTCAAAGGAAAATTTTTAAACAAACTTGTTTCATGATTAATGTAACCAAATGTTTTTAAATTTTATTCACCGATCATACTGAGTTCTGTCATACATCAAAATATTTTTCAATTCAATAAGCTATTAATGTTATATTCACTGCCAATACATTTAACATAAATCCAATGTTTAGTGCATTTCAAGTACCCGTTAACACAACAATGGCTGTTATGCATACTAGGATACTTAGGTCAAGGCATACTCTTCACATATCTTGTCTCGTAGGAAATAATTCATGTTAGCTCCTGGATTTAGAACAGCCCTAAAAAGTGGGTTGTTATATTATGACTAATTGTACTATAGCCTCCTCTGAGGTTTGCTTGTTCTGTACTGATCCATTTCTTTTTCACTTGACTTGGTTATCACGTAAAAGCCTCCAACTTAAAAAAATATTATTTCTAGGGTTGATGTTGTCAGAAACCTCTTCAATGTTTCTTTTCAGGGCTCTGCCATTCTAGTGGGGGGGGGGAGGTTTTTCTCTGCTGGGAGGGGGGCTTGTGGCTGTATTTCCTCTACTTTGTTCTTCCTCAACTTTGATGTATCTTTTTGGGTGTGAAAAGGGGAATGGAATGTGCCAGGGGCCAGGTGCCATCTGCCTTATCTCCACTCTGCTGCAAGATCCGGTGAAGCGCCTGGGAACCGTCCCTTATCAGCTCCAGTTCCCATAACAACTTTGCCCCTATGGATTGGCTGAATGCGAACTGGACAGTTGGGCTCTGGGGTGGGGTTTTGTGAAACGAAAGTTTTAATGTAGCAATTCGTGCGGGAAAACTTTAGATCTTGCTTTGCTGTCTTGCTATCACCATCTCTCAATAAAAGTTCCTTTTTGAAATAATGCCTGTTTCAAGAGTTCTGCTTTCTTGGGAGGAGTAATCAAGGCAGGACCTTACGTTAAGCAAGATCTGCAAAAAGGTCAAGCCAGAGAGGCAACTACCCTACTGTGAGGACCTTGCATCATGTCCCTCCATGGTAGTGAACAAGATGAGACCGAGTGCTGGGGAGAGTCCGCTGCAAAGACCCACCCAGAAGAAAGCTCCTCCGGATGGATGAAAGAAATGGTAAATGAAGAAAGCTCCACAAAGCCAAGATGGTCAGTTGGAGTAGGGAAGAGAGAAGAGTAGGAAGATAAAGCCCGGCGAGTAACATTCACCTGAGGCAGATGGAAGAATGGCTGGAAGTGGGAGATGGAGCTGCTCTCCGATGATGGGGACGAATCCGAAGGAGAGCAGGAGTCTATTGATCAGATCTTGAAACAAGCCATGCAACACATGGTGAAAGCCTTTCAGGACCTAAAGTCAAAATCCAAGTGACGCAGGAGCAAAAGGAAGGATCAACTGGAAGAAACCAAATATGGGAGGAGTCAGGAGTGACCAAAGCCACGGGGGCAACTGGATCTACGGAAACGGTGGCAGCCACCCCGGCGGCATAGCAGCCTACAGCTCCCGGAGGGAGGAATGCTCCACCAGCCCCTAGAGGGAGAGTCCTACCGGAGGAATCAAAACTGGTACCCCTAGGGGTGAAATGTGATGGAGACTCCCGTCAACTGGGCTTCTTCCTGGCTCACACATTCACCTACATGCAAGTGTATGGGAGAACCCTCCCCAGTGAGAAAGCCAGAGTCAGGGTTGTCACCCTAGCCCTGGAAGGAACTGCAGCCCGATGGATGGTTACTCTGCACAACTGCAACACGCCAGAGCTCCAAAACTTTAACCATTTCATGACCACACTGAGACAGAGTGGCTGATCAGAAGGCACGCGATCGAATCAAGACTGTGAGGCAGGGACACTGACCGGTGGCTGAGTACACAGAGTAGTTCTGTAACCTGGCATGGTGCCTTAACTGGCCTTAAGACATCTTAATCAGCTGTTTCCAGGATGGGCTGAATGACGATCTGTACAATGCATGCGTGGTTAGGGGTGCCCCGTTCCATTACATGACTGGTGCCTCCTGGCTGAAGAGGTGGAGATCGACCAGCACCGCAACCCATACTGCTCTGGGAAAATGTGGAAACAGCCCCGCAGGAGAAGCAGCAAAAAACCTCGGCTGTGCCCCCCGGCTTGACAACCTGCTTCAAATGTGGCAAAGAGGGTCATCATGCTATGGAATGCTGCAGCAAAACTCTGATCAAAGATGTGATCGGCAATCTGGAGGAAAGCCGACTAAGACCAGCCAATGTTAGAAGACATGGCCTTGAGGAGTGCGGAGGTCGTGGAGTTCCATCCCACCCCAAAATCAGGGGGTGGAACTCTGACTCCACCAGAAGATGAACCCAGGATGCCAGAAAGTGACTATAACAACCTGTTGGTAAGTGACCGATCACATCGATGACCATGCCCATAGAACTGTTAATTCCGGGCAGAGAAGGAAAAGTAATCTTGACTGGAGAGAGGGACGTTTGAAATTCCCCAGAGAAAAAAAACCCTTACCAAGCAAACGAATCCATCTGGGAAGGGAACAGATCAGGGAGATAGGGGCCATTTTGAGTGGCGAGGCCATGCAAACCATATCTAGGGAGTACCAGGATCTGGCTGAGATTTTCAGTGAAAGGGGTTCGGACGAACTGGCCCCCCACAGGCCCACAGACTGTGCTATTGAGATTATTCTCGGGGCAAAATTACCAAAACCAAAGCCATATTTGATGATATCCAGGGAATTGAGCGAACTATGTAGGTTCATCGACAAAAACCTGGCCCGTGGATTAATACAACCAGCCAGACCCGGGGTGGCTGCACTAGTGCTGTTCAGAGAGAAGACAGACAGGTCTCTTTGTCTCTGTGTTGACTATAGAGGTCTGAACACTGTATGTGTGGAAAATGTGTACCCTCTGCCTCTCATGAAAACTATGCTAGTCCACCTATTGAAAGGAAACATATTTTCTAAATTGGACCTGCGGGAGGTGTACTATAGAGTTAGGATCAAGGAAGGGGACAAATGGAGAACCGCTTTCAACTTCCTCCTCAGTTGTTTTCAATTTAGAGTGCTCCCTTTTGGTCTGCAAGGGGTCTCAGCAGTATTCACGCAGCTGATCAGCGAGATGCTCCATGAGCACCTGTATATAATACAAAATTTCATTTTGATGTATGCCGATTGGTTTACTTTCAAAGTGACAATAAAGTTGTTTATTATTATTATTATTATTATTATTATTATTATTATTATTATTATTATTATTATTATTATTATTATTATTATTACTATTATGATTATTATGGAGTTTTGGTGTACCTGGATGATATATTAATTTACACCAAAATGAAGACGGAACATGTGAAGTTGGTTTGAGTGATCCTAAATAAACTCCGTGTTGCTAAACTCTACATGAAATTGTCAAAGTGTGAATTCCATAAAGAGAAAATCAATTACCTAGGCTACAGGACCCGGAAAAAGCATGTGCTGTCTTAGATTGGGTGGCTCCCCACACTAGAAAGCAGCTACAAAGCTTCCTGGGCTTTGCAAATTTCTACTGATAGTTCATCCCCTCTTTTGCCCAGATCGCTTTACCTATCACAAACTTGTTAAAAACAAAAGGGGGGGGGGGATAAACTGAGACCTAGCCAGCTCCTGAAAAAGACTATGGAATGCCAAGCAGCATTTGAAAAATTAAAAAGATTTTTCTTGGCAGAGCCAATTCTGAAGCACCCAGACCCAGAAAAGGCATTCATAATCCAGTGGTGTTACTGCAAGAGAATGAAAAGGGAAAACTGCAGCCCTGTGCTTACACCTCCAAAGAGTTACCAGGACTGAATAACACTGGCCAGTTTGGGAGAAGGAAGCTTATGCAGTACACTGGGTCCTCCTGACCTGGAGATACTTTCTGGAAGGACGCAAGATTCCTTTCCAAGTATGGACTGACCACAAAAATTTTGAAGCTCTAAAGACACCTAGGAAGTTGTCCCCTGAACAAGCGTGGTAGGCCCAACACTTCTACTGGTTCAATTTTACTCTCCATTACTTGCCGGGGCTGGGAAAAGAATTTCTTACCTGATGCCCTATCTAGAATGCCGCAATATAACAGCACCAAAGCAGAGGTAGTCAAACCTCTATTACCAACCCAGCAATTGGCAGCACCAGTCGTTACAAGATCACAGAAGAGAACCCTCACCCAACTGGACGGCGCTGCCTCAATAGTGTTCAAACAGGCTCTAGAGACAGAGGAATGGTTCTTAGAGCACAAGAATCTCTGCTCAATGCAGGATGGGCTGGCGTGGGTGGGAGGAAAACTGTATGTCCCAGCCATTCAAAGGCTAAAAACTATGCAGGCCTCCCATGACTCAAAACTGTCAGGACACTTTGGGTTTGTGAAAACCTTTCACCTAGTAAAGAGGTAGTTCTGGTGGCCATCATTGAAAAAGGACATTGGAAGTTATGTAGCCAGCTGCCCCATCTGCACTGCAGCGAAACAGAGGGAAGGAAAAATGCCTGGCTTTTTACAGCTGGTGGTGAGCCCTTCAGCACCCTGGAGAAAGATCTTTATGGACTTTATTGTGGAACTACCAGACAGTGCAAGGGAAACAGTTATTTGGGTTGTGACTAATTTATTCTCAAAACAGGTCCACTTCATCTCATGCCAGAAGATCCCAATGACCAGAACCTTAGCTAAAATGTTCCTCCAACATATCTACCAATTACATGGAGCCACCCAATGCATAACTTCAGACAGAGGTGTCCAATTTACTTCCAAGTTCTGGAAGGCCTTTTTGGACCTTTTGGGCACAGAACAAGGCTTGAGGTCTAGTCATCATCCTCAAATGAATGAGTGGACAGAACGACAAAACTCAGTTCTAGAACAATACCTTAGTTGTTTCATCAACTATCAACAGGACAATTGGACCGATCTCCTACCATTTGCTGAAGTGGCATATAACAATACTATCCATTCTAGTACTGGATACACTCCCTTTCAAGTAGCTACAGGGCAGATGTTTAAACCAATGCTGGAACTGCCTACTAATGAACTGACCATGCCTTCCCTTAAGGAATGGATGAAACAGCTACAAAACACATGGCCAATAGTAAGGAAAGCTTTGGATGAAGCTAGGGATGCCTACAAAGCTCAAGCAGTTAAAAAAAAAAAGAATAGAACCCTAACCTTTCCACATTGGGGACAGGATTTACCTATCCACTAGGTTCCTGCAGTCAGTTCAACCTTCGAAGAAGCCAGGGTCCAAGTTTGTAGGACTCTTTCCCATCAAACGTATTATAAACCCTGTCACTGTGGAGTTAGAACTCCCCAAACCCTTAAGGCAAATCCACCCTGTGTTCCATTGTAGTTTACTAATACCAGAAATAACTTCGCCTTTAAGGTCAAAAGCTCCTCCTGCACAACTTATTATGATTGAGGGGGAGCAACACTTTGAAATCAAAGAGATCCTAGGTTCCCGTATGCACTGTGGGGCTATCTAATATCTGGTGGCTTGGAAAGACCTTCCAGCCTCCCAAAATGAGTGGGTACATAAGAAATATATTAGAGCCCCTAGATTACTCAAAGGTTTCAATGCTCATTACCCAGATAAACCTGATTAACCTATTGTTCTCTTTTTCCTCCCTAAATTATTTTTGTTTCTCCTTCTTTTAAGGGAGGCAGCATGTCAGAATCCCCTTCAATGTTTCTTTTCGGGGCTCTGCAATTCTAGTGGGAGGGGGGATGTTTTTCTCTGTTTGGAGGGAGGCTTCCTCTACTTTGTTCTTCCTCAACTTTGATGTATCTCTTTGGGTGTGAAAAGGGAAATGGAATGTGCCAGGGGCCATCTGCCTTATCTCCAGTCCGTTGCAAGATCCAATGAAGCGCCTGGGAACCGTCCCTTATCAGCTCTGGTTCCCATAACAACTTCGCACCTATGGATTGGCTGGACACGAACTGTGAAATAAAAGTTTTAATGTAGCAATTCATGCGGGAAAACTTTAGATCTTGCTTTGCTCTCTTGGTATTGCTATCTTTCAATAAAAGTTCCTTTTGAAACAATGCCTGTTTCAAAAGTTCTGCTTTCTTGGGATGAGAAGTTGAGGCAGGACCTTACAGATGTAGTTGTACCAGGAGTAATGGGGTGCAGGGGAAATAATTTTAATAGATAAGAACTGGGAGGTCTGTATATTACTTTGCTAGTAATTCAATAATAGGAACAGTGTTTTCATTTCGTACTTTTAGCTTTGGACAAAACCTATTGGCACATGAGATGTCATTGGTATCTTGCATTTGCACATGCTTTGGGACTCAAGTGAGGTATGATCTAGTCTAATGTGAGGTATGATCTAGTCTAATGTTTCAAACTTGACAATTTTAAGATGTGTGGATTTCAACTCCCAGAATTCCCCACCCAGCATGTTGACTTGGAACTCTGAGGGTTGAAGTCCACACATCTTGAAGTTGACAAGTTTGAAAAACCCTGATCTAGTCAGTCTGGAATACATTCAAGTGTCCTCCTTTAGCACAAGAGCTCCCAGATAATCTTTATGGTACTATTCTGCAATAAAAATGTTGGGACTAAATTATTCATGTAGATATATTAATTAAACCTAATAAGTGCTCCTGTGAATGGAGTGTGGTATCACCAACTTGAATAAACACATCTAAAGGCAATCATTCAAATTCCATAGCCAAGTGTCTCCAAGTGACAAATTTTAATTTCAGATTTGAAATTGAATCAAATAAATTCCTTACCCCTTGAGCAATAAATACTTCATAGACACAGCATATCCCCACCACTGTTACTCCTTGTTCCTTACATAATGTAGCAACAGCCACCAAAAAAACTGTTGCTGCAATAGGAGTCCATACTGCAATGTAAAATACAAAAAAAATTAGTCTTCATGAAATTGGGAAAATCAACATTGCAATTCAAATGTCAGCCTGGAAATATTTTCTCACTCTCTGAACACTGAATGTACATTGTCTTGCCAGAAGATTTGTTGGAGCCTGACCACATTTTATAGCTATTTAGGAATAGAACTACCATCTTATACTGTAACAGTCATTTGTAGATGCCATGCCAAGGTATAGCTCTCTAATCTGGTGCCTTCCAGAGGCCTTGCCACAACTTCCAAAATCCTATCACCTTTGCTCTCATTTCCTTAAATTAGGCTTAGGTGACCTTTTACAGATGTGGGCTTTCCTTAAAAATATTTTTTATTGTGAGACATGTAGTGGCAGAGTTGCAGTAAGGAATGATTGATTCCAGTGCTAAGGGTATGATTAGGCGAATCTCTCTCTGGCACCTCATATGCTTTCATTTTAATATATGCTTCACTCTTATCCATAAAACATGAGAAAAGGAAGGGATAGATCTGAACTGACTTGTTACACAGTGATTTGAAATCAGACAAACCACTGCAGCTTCCCAATCCAGGCTTTAAATAACTACATTGAGGGTGGGGTGGGGAGGATGAATTATTGAGCACTCATTGTTTGCTTTACCTATTGTGTTTTCTGGCCCTCTGGATCTGGTATAGGACAGAAAAGCAGCTAGAAAAAAGATTGAAGAGAGAAGTTCTGCTCTGCCCACCACACCAGTTACCTAAATAAAAGATATAGCAATAGAAATAATTTAAACAAAATGAGATAAAGTATTAAAGTAATGGATATTATATATATATATATATATATTTGTATTGGAGTTCTGACCTTCCATTGTTTTGATGAAGTATGCAAGGACAGAATTAGACTGCCATCATGTGGCTAAACAAGGAAGTGTCCATATTCTAAATTAGCATAAGTAAAACAAAGACACTCTGTGGTCAAGCCCAACTCCTGTTGACTTACATTAACACATCCAGGGACTTAACCTGACTAATAGTATGGAAGTGATTGCCCTTGCCTTTTTCCAGGGTGCTTTTCCAACTCTCAGCCCTCATCCCCAGATTAATCAGGGCTGACTTATCCCAAAGGAGATTTTTCACAAGGCAACTGGACTTTCTTGCTTTTCTTTGATGACAATTCACTTCTCATCCAAGAAGCTTCTTCAACTCTGACTGGATGATGGGAAATGGAAGAATTTATACTTCTTGCAGACAGCTGGTCATTTGCATTCTTTTAGAGAGTCGTTGAGACTACCTGGAGGTATATCTGTGTCGTCTGGGTCATCTGAGTAATGCAAATGGGTGTGCAGCCTTCTTGGAACTGTTGAAAGGATTGTGTTGTTAGACTGGAGATAGATGTTGTCATATCCCTCCCCCTCTGTTGAGAGAGGGCTGTTCAATTTTGACATAGATGGCCTTTTTGACCCCTCTTTCAAACCAGTGGTCCTCTCTGTCCAAAATGTGGACTTTACTGTCTTCAAAAGAGTACCCTTTGTCTTTTAAATGCAGATGGATGCTGAATCTTGTCCTGATATGTTTGTTCTCCTATGGTGTGCCATATGTTTATGAAATGGTTGTTTTATTTCCCCAAATGTATAGAACTGCACATAGCTTACTCCAGGATTTATATTTATCAAATGACCAGCTGTCTGCAAGGAATATAAACCATTCCCCACCATCCAGTCAGAGCTGAAGAAGCTTCTTGGATGAGAAGCGAAACTTCTTCAAGAAAAACAAGAAAGTTCAATTGCCTCGTGAAAAAGCACCTTTGGGATAACTATGACCTGGATGACTGAGAATCTCCATAGAAAGGGCTGACTTGCTTGGCTTTAACTTGCAGAACTTAGGAAGAAAGCAAGTTGCCATATCAGAGATGTTTTATTTTTAGTCAGGAATGAATTTTGAGGAAAAATGTGCATCATCCCAAACAAATGTGATTTAGAATAAACTTTCTTTCCTTCCTTCCTTCCTTCCTTCCTTCCTTCCTTCCTTCCTTCCTTCCTTCCTTCCTTCCTTCCTTCTTTCTTTCTTTCTCTTTCTTTCCTTCTTTCTTTCTTTCTTTCTTTTCTTCCTCTCTCTCTCTCTCTCTCTCTCTCTCTCTCTCACTCTCTCACTCTCTTTCTTTTTCTTTCTTTCTTTGACATAAATGGATAGGTGGGAAAGAGAAAATAGAGTAGGAAGTGACCGGCTCATTCAGAGACCAATAATGAAGGAAAGTGTTGATTGTTTGGTGAATATGTGCTTAGAAAATGGCAGTTCACTCCCTAAAGCGCACTTCAAATGCATTAACACAACCATGTGGTACCACACCTGGAAGTAAAGGATAGGTTTAAACGTAGATGTATTTGAGAATAAAAATCCCCTTATTTTAACATTTCTTCTTCCATTTCTTTAAATTGTTTTCTACTATCATCACCCTGCATTGCTTCTCTACACTATTTAAGAACTCTCCACAGTATGAACTAGCAAGATTTTTAAATTTACTTACGGCTTCAGTATGTATGGGATGTACTGCGAATAGTAAAGATGCAACCAAACTGCTTTTGCTATCTAAGAAAAGCTTACAGACTTTGAGGAAGATGATGCAAACAATTGCATGGAAGATGATATTCAGGAAGTGGTAAGAAATAGCATTTAATTCACTGAACAGATAGTTTAAACGAAATGTGAAGACGGTGAACGGTCGATACGACTTATGACTTCTCTCCTAAAAGACAAGCCAAAGAAATAAACAACATCACATAGATAAAAAGGAATGAAAGCTATTGGTAAAATGGAAAATTCTAAAAAAAGTTTTAGAAGCCTAAACAAGTAGTATATAAGTCTTCCCCCTTTAAGATCATGCTAAATGAACACCCAGGTAGCCAAACTAGGCCAATCTGTTCGGATCAACCTCTCCCTCTCATCATATACACAGTGCACAAATCCACTCCTTTGTACATTGCTAAAAATGTAAGATTACATTATATTTTGTCTCTTCAAACATTCAAAATAACATGAATAGGAGTTTTGGAAAAATTGCCAATGTCCTTCTGAGCCTTGGGTGCACTCATGTCAATTTTGTTTGCTCAAAAATGCTATCAAATCTTCTACCTCAAGTTCTCTGTGTATGACAGAGTCTACTTGCTCATTCCAATTTTTTTCTGCTATATGCTGAAGGTTTATTATAACAACAGAGAAGTATGCATTCCTGAATTTCAGATAATCTAGTTTGAATTACATTGATTTTTCCTGTAGTCTTTAATATCTTGATGATCAAGATTTGTATCCTGGTCATCCTATATGTTGTAAAATAAAATTAATAGAAAATAAAATATCTATTTTTTGTAAAATATCACTGAAGGCTGAAATGAAAATTTTGAAGTGCAAAGTAGGTCTATGCATTGGTTTAATACTTTATAAAAATGCTTTAAGTGTCTTGTAGATACTATTACCTCAGACATGGGTGTTCCCCAGAAGTCATTCAAAAAAAGATTCTTAATTGGAGCTGAAGGATGCAAATCTTTATTGTCCAAAATGGCAGAGACATCATCAAAAACAAAGCCACAAAATAGACTGTTCCAGTAGCAAGCGGCCACTACTCCAAATATTAGTGCAAATTCCTTTGGGCTAACATAAGCCATCTTCTCCAGAACTCACACAAACTATCTGTAAAACAAATTTTTAAACATCTGCTTCCATCAACATAAATATACACAGTGAAGATTAACTGAAAACCAGAAGATTACTGCTTATCTATATAATAAGTAAATAAAACTCTTTTCACAAAAAATGGACAAATTTTAGCATAACAGCTGTAGCTTTATATCCTAGCAATACTGCTTGCTGGTTTCACTAGCTTGCACACAGATTTCAAAAAGTGCTAACATCTGGTATTTTGCTAATTATGGTTTTGAAAAAAATAGTTCAAAAACTTGGGCTGGTTCATAACTGCTTAGAAGAGAATCATCTATTCCAGGGGTAGGCAACCTCGGCTCTTTTATGACTCGTGGACTTCAACTCCCAGAATTCCTGAGCCAGCCATGCTGGCTCAGGAATTCTGGGAGTTGAAGTCCACGAGTCATAAAAGAGCCAAGGTTGCCTACCCCTGGTCTATTCCAACAATACTTTCAGTAATGCTTTGGGGGGGAAAAGAAGGAAAGCTACTACCTTATACAAGCCTACACACTGAGCTTCACTTCTAAAGAGATATGCACGGGTTTGTGTGGTTAGTCTCAGGAATTATAATATCCTAATTCCTTCTCTTCCAATGACAAGAAAAGGAAGTTTTGACTTCAAAAGAAATAGTATGTTATCCTTAGGGACCAAATCACCTACTCTGAACTGAGTTACCTTTCTTTGAACTGAGATATCTTTCCCAAAATTATTAATTTCCTCCTTTAAGAGTTAATCCTCTTAAAATTAACTGTCTCTTTACCAGGTTGCTGGCCATAGGTATGGGCACACAAATACATACAACACACTTCCTATATATTGGAATAAATAGCAAGGGGGAAAAGAGCATCAGGTGATTATAGATAAAAAATTAAAATCAGATATATTACTTATTGATCAGAAAGTAACATATAAAATTTGCAATGGAAATGTATCTCCTTTGATAACATTTTACAGGTAATCCCCGAGTTACGAGCATTCACTTAATGCTCATTCGAAGTTACGCTACAAGCACCCCCTAGTGTTTACGAGCAAGTCCCAAAATCACGAATATTGCAGCACCACAGCAGTCGTTCGTCCTTACGAATGACTGCAGAGGCTCTGCAACATTCACCCTATTCCCCTCCCCCTCCCTACAACTGCTTCCCCCTCCCTTCCTGCCATGCTGGATATACTCACCTTGCAAAATTTGTCTTCTCTCTGCCACAGTTTCTTTCCCTTTGAGGGAGAGGAGAATCGGCTTGGAAATGCTTTTCGGACCGACAATGAAAGCTCCTGGGTGCCGTAATATCGCACGAGTTCAAACACAAATACATCATGGCTCCCAAAAGCTTCCATTCTCGGGGGGGGGGGGATTGTTTGCTTTGTTTGCATGCCTATGGGGCAAGGCATGGAATTGGAGTCAGCTGGATACAGGAACTAATGCTGTCTGTTGCCCGGGTGTGCTGCTCGCTCATGTGTACTGGCCTTAGTTTGAGGGCAGAAACAAAGTCTTCAACTGAGTGGAGAGGCATTGCGGAGCCAGGCCCCTGCATCTAAACTGCTGCTGCCAGTGGTGGCAGCCACCTGAGCAGCCATGATCCCTCTCCCCAGTCAGCCACCCACTCCACCTGACCTACTCCTTGCCTGACTGGCTGGCTGGCACAAATCCTGACTACTCTTCTCCTTGTTAATGTCTCCACTCAAGCGGCGGCAGCGGCTTCAGGTTCTCGGCCCCATCCGAGTGGAAGAAAGCGGAGATGCAGCAGCAGGATTGCTCTCAAGAAGACTCGGATGCGCTGCTCACTCATGTGACGGCCTTATTGAGAGCAATGCCTCTGCTGCGCCTCCACTTTTTTCCACTCAGACAGAGCTGAGAAACCCAAGCTGCTGGCGGCGGTATCCACCTGAGTGGCCATGATCCCCTCTCCCCAGTCACTCACTCCACCCGGACTACTTGTTGCCTGTCGAACCGTCTGGCACAAATCCTGACCGCTCTTCTTCTTATCGTCCTCGGCAATCAAGTGACGGCAGAGACAGAGACTGCAAGCTCCATGTGGCTGCCAATGCACGCTTAGAAATGGAGCAAAAGGCTCGGTTTCTCAAGTGCCCCATTCCAGGCATACAGAGCTTGCAGTCTCTGTCAGGTTTCCATTTGGATAAAAAGTGTTTCAGCACTTATGGAGCACTTCAAAACACAGGGATTCACTGCATTTTGAAGCACTCCATAGGCACTGAAACACTTTTTATCCGAATGGAAACCTGACAGAGACTGGAAGCTCCGCATGACTGCCAGTGGGGTGCTTGAGAAACGGAGCGTTTTGCTCCATTTCTAAGCGTGCATTTGCATGCAGACGGAGCTCCCCAAGATATCTGTCCTGGTGAAAATTGTTCCAGCAGTGGCAGAAAGGAGTTGGGCGCAGGAGCAGGAGATAAGTCATTGCAAACACTGCGAGAGTTCAGGCTCCCATTCTCTGCAAAAGAGCACCAATGCCTGAACTCGCGCAATATTGCAGGCACCCAGGAGCTTCCATCGACTCTCCTCTCCCTCAAAGGCAGAAACTGCGGCAGAACGGAGATGGATCTTTTCAAGGTAAGTGAGTCCGGCGTGGCAGGAAGGGAGGGGGAAGCATGAAGTATCTTAGTGGGTCGGGGAGGCCTTGGGGGTTCTGTTCCATCACTATGGCCTTCCCCACCCTGAAATACCTCATATTCACTTAATGAGCACGAGCGTCTTAATGAGCAGGGAGAGATCTCAAGGTACGAGATTCATTCCCACGAATTCTCCAGTTACATTCGTAACTCGAGGACTACCTGTATTGTGAAAGATACTACATTAATCTACCAATATAATAATAATAATACTTTAACTTCTTAGATTTCAGTACTTTTCAGCTAAGTACCATAGCATAAGTATTTTTGTAAAGTTTATAGGTCCTATTAAACAGATTAAAAACTTTAAGTTGACTTATTAAAACATAAGTAAGACTGTTTACTATGGATGGACCTTTCAGACCATATAAATCTTTAAACTACTAGTAAGTGCTGATATCTTGGCATCCACTGAACTGTAGCAACTGTTGATATTCTTTCTGGATGTAGTATTGAAATCAAAATCCTTAGATTCTCCAGTGAATCAGCAATTGCTGAAAATATATGGGCACTTGGAACTAGTTATACTGATTGTAACCAAATAAAATACAATAGCTCTTCACATGAAAAAATATTAGTAGACAAATATATCTTGCCAGAGGATCCTTTACTTAAAAGTAAAAAATTATCATATTAGTCTGAACATGCTTCTTATGACAGAACCTTAGCTAGGAGGTAATCACTTATATAAAATTATATAAACTCAGTCTCCAAAGAAAGGTGAGAATTATGGCCTCTTAAATTTATTACCTGATTGTTCTATCTCGCAATAATAGAATATCAAAATGTACATATAGAGAAAAAGGCATTTTCTTTTGCAGAATGAGATCAACCACCATTATAAAAATAAAGGTTTCAAAAGGACTGTACAAACATTTGATTTTATCAGTAATCTTGATTTAACATTTTGATTCAATCTGCTCACCAAGATTTTTATGCCTGAATTAAAATAATAATGCACAATGGAAAAAAAATTCAGTCATGCATTTTATCTTAGAATTAAGCAATGATTAAAGAAGAATTAGGGATGAGTATCCAAAAATCAACATTTTTATAAAACATTTACCTTATCAGTCAAGCATAATATTTTTTTCATTTATGCATTTTCTTCATGAGGAGCCATTTCTAAAATCTTTTTTCCAATCTGTGGTATTGTAAGTGATCTGTTACAGTGTTTATAGATCTTTTCTAGAACAAAGAGAAAAGAAAATAAGACCAGTCTTAGGAAATATATTTAGATCAATTTCATTTAAGCCACCATAACTCAGTTATCTTAAACCGTTGGAAGTGCAGAATATACACACTCTTAAGCTATGCAAAATATTGCATGACAATATTAAAATTATCCAAGAAAATAATCTGAGCAACACTTGTGTTTAAGCCAGTTCTAATATTAATACAGTGTCATTTAGTGACTTCAATTGATTCCCGTAAAATGGTCACAGAGAAACATAGTTGCTAAGTAAACCATGAGACACTGCGTGTATTGAGATAGATACATAGAGGGAGATGCTGGGAAGATCACTGGTTGCTGCAATCTCAGATAAAGATCTCTCATACAGTCTCCTATGCCTGACCCCTTTTTCCCATTTTTTGCCCCCTCATAGCGCAAAGAGATTATTTAAACAAGCTATCTCTTATTGAGTTGTTTTCTCCCCAGCTCAGCCTCTCCTAACCACAAGTTAACAAGCTCAACTGTGACCTTAATTAGTTTATTAGAACCCTCCTTCTGGATGGCTCCCTGTAACTGTTCAGATCTTAAGCCAATCTCACCCTTATTGCTAACTGGAAGAGACTGGTCCAGTTCAAATATAAGAGTGTCAGATTTTCATTAAAAGCTCAGTGTGAAGCAACCTTGGACATATACTAAGAATGGCTTCCTTACTGTTTCTACAGAACATTCCGTGCTAACATCGGTCTAATCAGCCATCTACGGACACACCGTTGATGGCCCACAATCCACAAGATGTCAAGGTCTTCATTGAAATCGATGGACGAACAACAACTGTCTACAAAGCTTATTGTTAAGCCTAGATGATTTTCTGCCTATCTCTGCATAAAGTGATGCAATAATCATCCCTTGCAGTTTCTGCTACTTTGGCAGGGAAAGCAGCATTGAATGAAAAAATCTCATGTGCATACCCAAATATCATATCTATCACCATCAACTATTACTTTACTACCCCTGTTTCTCATATTCCTCTCTATTGCTTTATCCATCATTTAAAAATGACAAATTAATGACATGATTTCAAAGAGCTTTGCCTATAAAGAAAGAATGCTTAGTGAAAGGGCTGTGGTTCACGACAAGAGTATAAGCTTTGTATGCGAAAGTCTCCCAAATTTTTCAGTGTCTGCATTTTCCAAGTAGTAGATGACATGGAAAACCTCTCCATTGCCAGGTATAGTAAACAATAATGGATTAGCAGCAAGTCATGTTCCTATATAACTGGTAAACTATCAGATATATTCTAAGTGTGTTTCACAGTGACCAGTTGGAAAAAAACCAGTATATTAGAATAAGAATAAATCTAAATGTCTTTTCCAAAGGGTTCAAATCACCTTGTGTATAAAAACACAAAAAGTATAGTTGAAAAACTAAGTTGTTCTTCATTTTTATTAGAAAAAAGTAGGAATTTTGTAAGAGCCAACAGAAGCAACTTGGTTCAATTTACACATATAATTTGGCTTAAAACAATGAGCTTTTCTTGGTGCACATTTTTTAAACACAGCCCAGATAACTATACAAGACTCTTCACTATTATCTTTGCCCACTCACTGAGAGTATGTGTGCATGTGAATAGGGTATCTCTGCGCAATGGAAAGGAAAAATGTAGGCAGATATACCTGGAAGGATAGAAGGTAAGGAAATATATACAGTATATACTAAGGAAAACAGAAAAAAAAATCCCCAGCTTAATTTTTTTTCTTTATTTAATTGTTCAGTAGAAAAAATCAATTTCCCATTAGGCATGCAGAAGAACTATTTTTTTTCCTGTCAAGAAACAAAACAGTTTTAGAATATAGAAAATACAAAAAGAAATCATGCGGGGTTATTATGTAGAGTAACATGAACATTCAAAAATAAAAATCTAACATTTATTAAAGGGGACAGGATACGAGTCCTATAACAAATAAAACCCTCTTTTAAATGGGCTTTCTTATAGCAAATGTAGGGTAATGTGATTATTCTTACCATATTTTATGTATTTTTCAAAAGGTTTTATCTGTCCTCCTGCCTACAAATCATATCAATGCCATAGCATGGAAGAATACACATTAAATAGTTTCCTCGCATGTAATGGTGTTGTAATACCCATTTGGTTACATAGGGCTATCACACTGCAAATATCTAGATATCCACGAGATGGCAGCAGAGAGAAAGGGAAAACACAAGTGCTCAACTGAATTTCCCATTCCTGGATAGCCAGAGTACAGGAAACGAAAAGGCTAGTCAATTTCCCACTGCTCCACAATGAACCAGAAAGGCAGTCATGTGTACAGTACATGCTCAAATAAACAATTTTTTTTTCTGTATATTACTATAACTTGTTTGATTACCTGAATATCAAACTACCCATGAATTCCCGCCCAAAAATAACATTTTTATATAAATTTATGTTCTAACATCTGAATTATTCATATTTTTTTCTTTATATTAGTTCTGAAAAACACAAGTAGAGACAATCCAGCCCATATCACATGGTTGTTGTTGTAGGGAATACAGGAGGAAGATGATGTGTTGGATAATATTCACTGCCTTGAATTATTTGTAAATTTGGGGTACAAATAAATAAACGAGATAAGCATGTATAACCAACATATTTAAATCCCATCCTGTTAGCTCATCTTCAAATGATTTTCCAACACATCCTTAGTAAAAGGAGGTAATTTAAATTTTAACTTTTTACCAGTTTTTTTTATACCTCCTTTATTTTTATAAATAACTCAAGGCGGCAAACACACCTAATATTCTTCCTTCTTCCTATTTTTCCAACAACAACCCTGTGAGATGACTGACAGAGAGTGACTGCCTAAGTTCACCCAGCTAGCTTTCAAGCCTAACATGGGTGGGATTTATTGAGAGGTTTTTTTAGGTTTCATCGCATTTTCGGCCTGTAAAGAGGAAACATTTTATTGCATATGAATAGTGACTTCAAGCACATCTTAAAATCATGTGGTGGTGTTTAAATATCTGATGAATTCTTTGCAGCTCCTCAAGATTCCAGAATACTGTAATTCCTGATTGTCTCATTCTACATGATCCTGTCCAATTTCCAGGTATTCCTAGTCTTTTTCCTCTGCTCTTACATACCACAGGAATCTCTTTACAGAAAAGTAACTTGAATTCACAAAATGAGTGACATATAAATTTAATAATAAAATAATAAAATTTGTGATGAGAAAAAAGGGGGCAGAAAGGTCTGTTTTTATATGCTCAATTGCAAAGCTAAATATTCAATGGCAGAGGTCTTAAATTGCAGCTTAACTGGTATATTAAACCAACGATGTCTTTCTATTTCCCTTAAGTAATCCAATATTGCTGAATGCTCAAATAGGGCATATGGTACCATCCTTCACCTATCAGATACAGTCACTAAAATTCAGATAAGTATAGTATAATTACTGGCAGACACACAAGTAATGAAGATTGGCTCCAATTGTATAAATCACCAACAGATGACAGTACTGACAAACTAGAAACCCTGATGTTTTTCAGTTCCTATTTTTTTCTTTACAGTTATGAGAAAAAATTATGTTGTCATTGAAACTAAACCTACAGGAAGTACTGGTCAGTGTGCTTTAGGCAATGCATTGTGACTGAATTTTTTTACAGCTAATTAAAATTTACTGTATAATGCAGATTGATGACAAGGACTATTAATATAAGCACTGTGCATAGCTGGGCCCCCAAAAGTGTAAAGATGGTGAACTAGGAAGAGCTGATATGTTTGATCAAGAATAAATGAGCAACCTATAACAGCAACTCACAAGTTTTATATGAGCAATATTAATGAACTGATTGAGGACAATCAGTAGATTATGGAAAGGAAAATTGCTGTCAGGCTTGGCATTTCATAGAATATGTGTTGTTGAATATTAGAAAGTTTGTGCTTGATGGGTTCCGTATGCTGATGAGAAAGATGAACACTTTGAAACTATAAAAATGGAGGTGAGGAATTTCTACATAACATGATAGACAACAAAACATGGGCACTTTGTTATGACACAGACATAAAGTATCAGTCCATGGAATACTGTCATAAAACATTTCCAGCAAGGGGAAAAAACCTCTAGGCTTTGGCAGAAAAACTCACGGGTACAGGTTTTTTGGAATGCAGATGATGTTATTCATAAGGATTTCCTCACGATATATCTGGGTGACACTCAAAACTATGAAACAATTAAGCGGAGTTTGGAAGCATAACACCAAGAGACAATTTGAAAGTTGGATCTAAATCTTACCTCATATCACATAAGGTTCAGAATCCATGCCATGTGACTTCCACCAATTTCCAAAGTGAAAGGAATATCTTTGTGGGTATCTAACTCAAATAAAGTGCTGGAAGGAATTGTCAGGACCTGATTGAAAAGACAAAGTATGGAGTTCTTTGTGATGACTTTAAGAAACTATGGGGACAATGTGAAATAGTGAATCGAGTAACTAAAGAGCTCAGGAAAATGTAATTTTAAAATATCCTCATTTAAACTAAAGTTATGGAAGGCGGCATTGCTTCTAATTAAATTCTTATATTTTAAAAAATAGTTCAATGTGCTCTTACAATATGCCTCTTTTGGTGAGACCCAAAAGAAGCATCTGAAGGCAACCTGTAGGGTAGTAATCTTCTAAGGTAATATCTTACTATCCTCTGTCCTCTGTCCTCTCCCTTATTATCGTACTAGTATTTCTGGGGTAGCTGTACAGATTTCTGAACAAAACTTTGACCAACTATCATCTATATTTCTATTTTTTAGAATTTCTATGGATCAAGAATAATTTGCATAAGATTACATTGATAAGAAGCTTTTGGACTCCAAACATTTTCTTTTTAGAGTAAACAATAAAATCAGTTCCAAGAAGATATCCATGATTTGTCTTTTCATTTCTCTTTTAAAAAAATCTAATAAATTTCAAAACATCTTTAATGTGGCATGTAAAGCTTTTTTTTTTTNTGTAGAACAGACCAAAAGTAATTGAACTGTATCTTGAATATTCTATACAGCTATAAAGTACCCCTGCCCCCAAGGCAATCAACTCTATAGTACTGGAATTGAGAAATATGCTATTTTTGTCCTGACTGCTAGGTGTTCTAAATTGCATTAATTGCTTCAACATTTTACGTATGCAGATAATTAGCTATGTAACCATCTGCCTGATTGTTAAAAAATGTACTGATGGGGCAGCTGTAATTTGCTTACTGGCATTTAGGACAGAACATGAGTGGCTGATGTATCCAGAATATTTATATAAAGCACTGATGCTGTTTTATATAGAATCAAGCATTTGGTTCAACTACTAACTAATATTGTTGATGCCGGCATGACTTGTTTTCCTTTAGTATTTCAGGCAGAACTTTCCTAGGATTTCACAGGCAACCTTCTTATCCTGACTATATACTGTATCAGTTTTTGGTTTTGTTTTTGTACCTTTAAGTCAGTGTTGGTGGTGATTGCCTGTACAAGTCCCTACAATTTTCTTGGCAATATTTTTGGAAGTTTGCCTTCTTCCTGGAGAGAGAATGACTAGCTGAAAGTTCAACCAGTTGGCTTCACCTCTAAAGTAGGATTACAGTTGATATTATCCTGGTTTCTAGCCTGGTACCTTAACCATTAGCCCAAAGTGGCTCTCTACATCGAACTAAAGCCCCCAAATTCTTTTCTGTTGAACTTTATTTCTAATTATTTCATGGATACTTCCAGGTAGCTCACTTGGCACCAGTTAAAAAAATGGTTAGTCATTAGTTTCTTTGGGGATTCTCCCCCCCCCTCAATTTCCCAGTCTAGCCTACATTCCTGAGTCTCCCACTTAGGTATAAATCAGACCTCAACCTCAGCCAGGTCCAATCATTTGCTGAGGCCTTAATAACTACAGCTCTTATATTTTCCAGGCTTATAAAGAAGCTAACAACTGTATAAATATGAATAAAGAGAACAATGTTACAAAAAAAGTTGAACACTGTTTGAAAATGTAGCAAGATAGAACAATGAAGTCCAATATATCTGAATGAAATAAGGAGCCCAAGATAGACAAAATGTGTGTGTGTGGGAAAAGAAACCCAGTAGCCAGAATAACATGCCAATATGAATCCTGTAAAATACACATGCCACTGAAATCTAAATTGTATTCAAGAGTTAAATTTTTCTTATAAATTACCACTTCAGGATACTCAACTGCCTATGCCATTAAGTAATTAATGCACGTAGAAGTATTTCTTCATCCCACTTCCAAATCACTCAGAAGGTGAAATTAAGAACTATGCATCTCACTAGCAGACTTCATACTCTTTTAAATTGGGTAAATAATTCGGATTAATATACTATGACAAGTACACACAATCATTACAAAATATAAGTGATACACATGTTCCAAACCTAGCAAGAGTAATACTTTTGCCAAAGAAATAAGCTATAAATGAAGCAGGCAGATCAATTTCAGTGGTGCTTTAATCAAGCACTTGGCCCTTCATAGTGAACACTAACAGTATTTTATTGTACAATATATGAAGTTGGGCCCATATGAATTATGCAGCTAAGTAACACTTAAGTAGAATACATCTATAGATTCTGCAAAACTCACAAAGATACCATTACAGTACCCAATTCAGGTCTTTATAAACGTCACGTGTGTGACGCCTGCTAGCCTTTTTGGAAATTAATAACAGGTAATCGAGGGGACGTGTTCACCTTAAAGAGAAACCGAACGCAACTTACAAAAGATCAAACAAAATCGTCCCTTTCGGGCTTAAACTGCACATTTGACGGACAAGTTCTGGTGTTTTCCTTCTCCGCGTCCTTTTTCTTTTCCCATTACCTTTGCACGTAAGATCAGCACGCGCGTAAGTTACCCAGCTTCCCAAAAGATCCTCATAGACTCTGTCTCCGCGTTTCACTCCGCAGGATCCTCTACTTGGGACTGCCGCGGATGAACCCCTTTCCCCGCCATGACTTACTCCGCAGCAGCTTCAGACTTAACTCGCCATAAGACCCCCAAATCAGAACGAATGAACAACCGGAGACTCCCTCCTCAATTACGCATGCGCAAGCATTCATTCTGTGTCCCCTGTGGAACGCTCGACAAGGAGGCTTTCGGCCACTCCCCCACCTCCCTCTTCCCAGCATTCCAAGCGGCGGATATCGCAAAGAGATTGTCTCCAGGTCGGTGTGGGGCTGGCTGGGGCGTGTAGTCTTTCCTACGACGCTTTCCCTGGAAAGGGAAATACTTCGCTCCCTTAGTATTGAGCTGTCCATGCCTTTTCCTTTCCCGTTTGCGCGAGGGTCCGTTAACTCCGTTCCCTAAGGAGCGCGGGTCTCTTTATTGCCTGGCATTCATTTTTCTACCCGTGCTAGATAGTGCTGTCCGACTCGGAGCGTTTGCAAACGGTTCGTCGAGCAAAGCATTTTGGGACTCGGAGTTTTCTTGGCGGACTGCCCTTTGGGCATTGTAGTCCCGCGGGAGTTTTGACCGGGCGCTCGTGCCAGTGGAAGCGTATCCGGCCTCTTGTGAATGTAGGCGAGGGTTGTTTGATCACGTTGCTTAGCAGCGGCCGTCCCCGCCTTAAACGACTACGGAAGTCAGCGAGGGAAGACAAAGGAAAGAGGCTGAAAGGTGGGAGGAGAGGCGGTGGAAAGTAAGCGAGTCAGCACAAGGGGCGGCTCGGGGACCGGGGAGAGGCTTGGGGAGAGACGGGGACTGGTTCCGCTTTTAGTCGGGGTTGAGGGAAGGAGACCGAGTTGACGCTGGGATTACGCCTGGCACCCTCCGGTTTCTGACTGAGCCTTTCTGATCCTTTGGGATACTTAAACCTCTCTTTCCGGGAGAAACGGTCCTTGGCAAGCGAGATAGGGTGGTTTCTTATGTGCCTAATGTGCCGTTTAGGCCGTCCAGTCCTCTGGTGTGGTCCAAATACATGTGAAAGGCCTACGTGTATTCTGCCTCTGGCGGAATGGCCACTAATCCACAATGCTTTCGGCATAATAGACTCACTCTCTCTCCTGTAGCATAGATAATCTTAACGCAGCGAAAAGTTTTGCGCCCCCCCCGCCCCCTTAAGGCCCAGCCAAGTTCATGGGAGAGAGAAGCATTGGATGGGCAGAATAGACCAGATCTTTGCTGGTCTGATCTCATGTTTTCCTTCCTGCACATTATTTGATGAAAAAGGAGAAAAAATGGTGTCTTGGAGAAAGTGGACCATTATGTTCCAAAACATTAAAACATTTTCAATTTGTGAAGAAAAGGTACTATGGAAGCCATGTGGAGAAACAGCAAATAAAATAACATGGGGAAAAAATTCTTTTAGCTTCTCCATTGTTTATAAAAAATGCCTGCAAAGAAACAATATTGATTGCAATTTTGACTGGTTGATAATTGTAAGACCCCTGGACAGGAAAAGTGCTATAAAACACTGCTTTTAATGTTGTTTTGACAGTTGGAAACACATTGGATTACAAAAACCATATATAAAGATAAGAACTATATAAGATTTGGTGGTTTGGATTTTAAGATTGGCTGGTTTGACAAAGCTAATTACAGAGACTATGGTACTGTTGAAAGACTATCTGGAGGGGGGAGACAAAATGGATATTGCATACTTAACTAAAAGTGACAGGAAACCACACCTAACATTCCCTTCTGAAGGCCCCAGCCTGGAACATCGGGGATCTGCAGGAGCAATACTCCAAGACAAGGCAAATACTTTCCAGGAGGAAATGTATGTAATGCTGTGACAGATTCAAATGACAATTGTTTCAAACCATGATAAGATTAAAAACAACTTTGATGACATAAATGAGCACATCTCCAACCTAAACTTACAATTACAAAACTCAGAAAATGACAATAAAGAATGAACGAACAAATCAGATAACAGAACATAAACCAGAGGAAAGTGACCCAAATGGAGAAACTACAAATGAAGAGAACCACAGCTTAATACAAACAAAAGAAAATCTGCAAGATTTTGCCATAACAATGAAAATGGAAGAGATATTTTATCTTTCAGAACTTCAAAACAAACTTAAGGATAAGAAAGAAGATCTAACAAAATGGATTATACAGCTGCCAGGAGAATCATTAAAATTTGGAAGACACAAAACATACATTTTACTTAACTTGTCTTTCCTATTCCCAACAATATTCATAAAAATACAGGAAGAATCCCCTGGCAATACTGACATGGAAAGCTACATGGCAAAAGTGGAAGGCTAGAGTTAGATTCAAGAGACTCGATTCGACTTACCAGATGGAGTACTATATGATTAAACACTTGTTTGAATATGGTTAAAAGAATAAATAAATAAATGTTGAATATAAAGGGGCCCTACAGTAAGAGGGATAAGATATATAAGCAGTATAATATTTTTATAATATATGAGATGTAAAAATATTAGGATTCTAAAAATATTAGAATGAAAAGTTTGGATATTTAAAGGTAATTAATTTTGAGAAAATTATGACTGATAAGAATGGTCTGAATACTGAGGGGAAATTAAGCTTAAATAAGAATCTTGAAAACAGGACACATAGTGACTTAATAAGATGACTTTTACAAATATAGTTGAAACATAAGCCGTTCAGAAAAGATGTTACATATGGATGTTATTGTTATTGGTACAAACACAAGAAAAATGTTTATATTCAACTTTGTATGGAAAGTATTAAGAATTATATTCACTTAATGTTGACAAAGGAGAATACTATTGGAAGAAGATCAAAGAAATATTAACTAATATATTGATTATGGAACCATAGAAATTAATTATTATTGTTTTTAAATATATGAACCCAGACAACACGCTGTTTACTAAGCACTAAAGATAGTTATTGTAAAAAATCAATAAACTATATTAAAAAAACCTATCAACAGATTCCACACATTGTAAAACCTTGTAGAAAAGCAAAGCTGCTTGATGTGAGAGGAGTCTATTTATTACTCATTCATTTATTCACTGATTCATTCAGTTATGGAATGCTTACTGATATGAAGAAAAAATGAAAACAAAAGAAAGTGGGAGGGAGAAGTTGAATGGAATAATTCAAAAGCTTGATGACTTAGAGCTATAGAAAGTTTCCTGTCCTGGGAGTTACAATTGCTTGTTGAACAGTGCACTGCTGTCTATACTGCAAAAAGTAGAAGAGCTCTTAAGATGTGAACTAAATTTGATTTGATTTATATTTAAATTTAACACATTACATTAACATTTGTTGTACATCTCAAAATGGCACTGTAATTTCAAAGCCTTACACTGCAAGGTTGACAGGTTAAACATGTCACAAAACTGTGTGAAAATGTTCTATATGGTTATAATATTATGCACATTCTTAGAAATAATCTAATTGAATTTATTAGTACTAGTTTAGAATAGAATAGAATAATAGAGCTGGAAGGGACCCTGGAAGTCTTCCAGTCCAGCCCCCTGCTCAAGCAGGAGAACATACACCATCTCGGACAGGTGATTGTCCAGTCTCTTCTTGAAAATCTCCAGTGATGGAGCACCCACGATTTCTGGGGGTAAGCTGTTCCACTGGTTGATTGTCCTCACTGTCAGGAGGTTTCTCCTTAATTCCAGGTTGCTTCTCTCTTTGAGCAGTTTCCAACTATTGTTTCTCGTCCTTCCCTCTGCCTGGTGCTTTGGTGAACAACCTATTATGTCTGGAATACTGCTATTATGTCTATCAGTTTAGATAGAAACAAGATTGGTAATCCTAGTTATAGATGTTTTCATAGGTACAGACATATAGAACTAATTTGTGCAAAGGGATTTTTGAATCTGTGGCCTTCCCAACTAGAGAATTCCAAAATATTAAGGATAATTGTTCTGAAATAGTATTTCAGATGTTGTAGTTATCGCTTGCATTCATTCACAATCTGCCCCAAACGTTATGGTAATCAAATCTTTTATTAATATGAAGATTAAAAACAATTAAAACAAGGAAATGATAAGGGAACCCCTTAACATAATATCAAGTCCAAGAAGTAGAATACATACAAAAACTAAAATTGGATCATTTTCAAATTTTCAAATTTTCTTATTAATTTTTACAGTTGCCCCCATCTCAACTTATGGTATTCCTAAGTGAGCATGTTGAGGACCTATACATGGAAATAAAGAAAAATATTTTGGGTGCATAAATAAAAATGTTGGCTTTTAGTCTTAAAATATTTAACTCCTTGTATCTAGTAACATTTCATTTGAGAGTCAATGTGGTAGTTAAGGGGTTGGATTAGGAAAGGCAAGATGAAGTTCTATTCCATTCTTGGTTAATGGAAGCTTAGTGAATGCCTGTGGACCAATAACCACTCAGTCTAAACCTGCCTCATAGAATTGTTGTTAATGGGGAAAGTACTGTTCTTAGATGTAATAGCTTACTAATAAAAATACTATAAATGTTATACTGAATAATTCTGGTAAATGTAATGAAACCTTTTCAATGTGATTAATTTTTTTCAGAAGTAAATGAATACTCAGGATGGCACCTATTTTGGAATGGAAGAAAATTATGAGAGTAGATCCTGATGCTTTGCCTCGTCAGGAGGAACTAGCAGATAGTTTGTTTGAGACTGTGGCCAAGGTACTTTGCATGATATATTCAATATGTCAGTAATTAAAAGTATTTAATGTGTACTTCTCAAATATTTATATTTTATATATTTTAGGTTGATGGTAATGCTTTGAAAGATGAGACTCCTGGACATTTAATTCAACTTTTTAAAATTTCTCAATCATTAATGAAGGTCAGTACTGATATATCGTTAAGATTTCTAAATAACATTTTTATAAACATTTATTATAATACTTTATTTACTTATATTGAATATAATCCTAAGTGTCTAGCAATCATCAAACCATTATGAATACATGAAAAATACTCCTCTCCCACAAAAATACATAATATGCCATCAAGATATCCCAGTAATCCTGTATTAAATTACACATATGTTGTGCTCAACTCCTATCTCCATCCAGCTTTTGAGGGAAGAGTTAAGTCTTCATGGCCTGCCAGAAAACTAACAGGGTAGGGGTCTTCCAGATCTCAGGGGAAAGGCTGTTCTGTAGCATAGGTGATTGCTGCAAAGAAGGTACACCAGATTATATTGTTTAGTAAAGAGGACTGGAATGCACCCACCTTATCTGATCTGGTGGAATGGATATATATCCACAGGGAGAAATAGTCCTATAGAATATAGATAATTTGGCTCTGTGCCATTCAGGTCTTTAATTGTGATAACTAGTGCTTTGAATTGCACCTGGAAAGAAACTGGCAATCAATATAAACTCATTTCCCAGTAATCTAACACAGACCTCAGAGTGCCCAGAACTATATGTGCCACTGCATCCTGGAGTAGTTGAAGATTCCAGGTGGAGGTAAATGCTATATCTGTGCTGTAACCTGGTGTACATCCAGACTGAAAAGAGTCCTGATAATCTGCTTTTCTTCAATAATCCTTTGAAACGGAGTGCCTAGCCTTTCAACAATTTTCCCTTAAAATTTTAAAGTTGGAGACTGAAATTTTTTCAACTCTGTCAGATCCAAGGATGGTTTTTTGAGAAGCGGGTAGCCTGTTGCTTCTTTTAAGACAGGCAAACTCATCCCCTCTTGTGAACAGGTGTTAACCTCTATTTATATCCAACTATATGCCATCTTCCAAAAACCTTAACTAGCCAGGAGGAACATGATGCACAACTCACAGCTGCAAGGACCTTGTGCATTTCCTTAGGACCTAAAAGTCATCCCACACAATGGAGCAAGATTGTGCACTTATTTCCATAGGACCTGCCCAACAGGAGTCCAGCTTAGAACAAATCCAAATAATGTTATCCAACAGATTCTTTGAATAGCCCTCACAGAGGCCTTTCAGGGGCACTCCAGACTCTTATTTACCCAGAAAAGACTGGTTACGTGAAACAAGGCCACTGATGGTGTCAACGCTGTAACATTGGATGTTCCTGCTCTGACAATTGATAGAAATTGCAGCCATTTTTACTTTGCTTTTAACATGTTTTTTCTTCTGTTTAGAAATTAGGTGTTGAAGGGGGGATGGGGTGAATGCTTGAGCTCAGCTAGCCATAATAACAACGCAGCTCCATAGGAACTCAAGGACATACACCGATAACATTTTGGTGGGCTGAGGAGCTGGGGAGAGAGCCCCGCTCCAGGCTAATTGGAGAATGTGATTTATGACTGCTTCATGGGGGTGGGACTTGCAACTTGTTACTTTGTATCTGGGGGAAGGGAATCTAGTTTTGGGTTCAGCTACGTAGTGCCGATACTTTGTTTCCTGAATAAAATGTTCTTTAAGGAAGAATTCTTGCCTTGAAGTTCTTTAATGGATTTCATCTATCGGATTTCATCTATCGGGTTATCTGCAGACATAATAACAAGGAAAGTCCTAATAAAGATTATCACTTGTCCCTTTTTAGATTTACTCTTCTTGGCACCCCTTGCATCATTTTATCTCCTAGTGCTTCCCTATAAACTGGGGTGCGGAGATTGTGGAATCCATAAAGAGAGAATCCACATTGACACGATCCAGTCTGAGTCCTTCATTACAAGCTATGAACAAGGGCTCCATTGAACTATATACCAGAGCTTTGGGAATAACCCGTGGTTCCCTCTGAAAGCTTATGTTATCACTCAGTTGCCTGGACAGGCTAGTTGAATAGGCTCTTCCCTCTTGCACTATAATTCCATAAGTAAGCATTGGAACGTGTTCTGTTTGTGTTTATAATATTCCTGGAACCTCTAAAATATTTACAGATGTATGTCAATAGTCCTGTAGCACTTTAGAAAGTAAACCCACAAATAGTAATAGAAATGAGCATGGTTTGTTAAATATTTAAATACTGTAATATAAAAGCAATTATGAGGCTAGAAGTAGTGAAGAAGGCAAGTGACCTAAGAAGAAAGATTTCCTGAGAAGTAATGAGAAAAAACAACAACAACATTTGCCTTTGCCAATTCATGTACAGTCATTTTGTATGGTAAATCTAGTAGTTGGATGAAAATGGGACAAACACACTTTTCCATAATAAACATAGAGTTGTAGTTGTTTTGGATTAATAAAAACTCTGAGGGTTTTTTTTTTACTTGTATACCCTTGTAGAAGGGTATAATTACATAAAGCTTATCTTAGATTTTTGGCATGTTTATAACTTGTATCATGAGACTAAAATGGGGTGTTGATATTAGGGGTTTATCTGTAATAAACTATATCTTATTTTAAACAACATTATGTTTTGATCCATGTGATTTTATTTTGTTTCCAGCAATTACTAATATTGTTTGCATTTTTTCTAATAGATGAAAAATCAAGAAGTAGAACTGGCTCTAGAAGAAGTTGAGAAAGCTGGAGAAGAGCAAGCTAAATTTGGTAACTTTTCTATAGATACATAACATGTAAACATCTTGACATTTTTTGGGGAAAAATACAGAAGCATCAATAGAGTGGAATTTCCAGTTCCATAGAGAATTCAGAATTCAATCTTCTAGGCTTCATTGTTTTGCTTTTACTTTGCTGTTAGTTTTGAAATGTTACCTTTTACTCAGTTGGATCTTTCCTGGTGCGATTCCTTATTACAATTAGTTTCAGTAGAAATATAACTGTTTCATTTATTCTGTTATTCTCAGTCAAATAAGGAAACATTGAAAACATACATTTGATGATGACTAATGATGTCCAACTTCTAAAGCTGGGCCCAAAGCATCACATAATTTCAACTTAAAGTGAATTGAATTTTCAGTTTATAAAATGAGGAAAAAGTTTCCTTAAAATAAATTGAGAGATGTTAATGATCAATTGAGTTCACTCATTTTTAATTCTTTGAAAGAATAGATAAATATTAAAAATGGAATATGCAAGGTTCAATTATGAAACATGGTACCCCTACATATAATATAATTTATATTATATGTAGATATAATTTACAATTAAATTTTATTCAAAGGAGGAGCTGTTTTTGATGCTACTA